TACTACTACTACGACTACTACTAGTACTACTATTACGACTACTACTATTCTACTACTACTACTACTACTACTACTACTACTACTACTACTACTACTACTACTGCTGCTGCTACTACAGCTACTACTGCTACTACTACTACTACTACTACTACTACTACTACTACTACTACTACTACTACTACTACTACTACTACTTTTACTACTACTACTACTACTACTACTACTACTACTACTACTACTACTACTACTACTACGACTACGACTACGACTACTACTACTACTACTACTACTACTATTACTACTACTACTACTACTACTACTACTACTACTACTACTACTACTACTACTACTACGACTACGACTACTACTACTTTCGCTCCGCTGAGTCTGTCCCCGCGAACTATTTTTTTTCGTGTCGGTGCTAACGCTATAACACAGGGGGGTTCTTGACTGCTTCGTGAGGTTAGAGGGTGGCCCCCCTCGCCCCAGCCCCTTCTGCACGCCAACGGGAGGAATAGCAGGAGGAGGAGGAGGAGCAGGGCAAGGACAGTCGGACCGAGGTATAAGATCGAGGCTGGCCCGCGGAGGGTACCCTAATGCTTGTCTTGCTTGCTGGATGCTCTCGTGCATCCTGGGGAGGGTGCCCTCGGATGTTCTGCGTGTTTTGGCCGGCGGAGGGTCGTATGTTCTTGGAAGATGTTCTTCTGTCTTAGATCCGACTGTAGAGTCAGCCTGTGATTGAATAGTGATCATTCACCTGCCTCGCCCCGCCCCGAATTCGCTTCGTGCCCTCACCCAGGTGAGGCTCCCACCCCAGGGCTGGCTCCACCGTGGGGCCAGACAAGTCCGCGATGGTCCTGTCCGTCTTCCCGGTTTCATGCTGGTCTTGCTCGAAAGGGCCCATGCTGCCTTTCCTCGACCATGGCGCTGCGAGGCCCTGACATGTTGCTTGATTCGGGCTCCAGGAGAGGAAAACTATCCAGATATTTCTTGTCAGCACCGCATCCACGTGGCGGGAACACCTCCGGAATGGCGTGGTGGAAGCCAACGAGAACAAGAGAGAGCAAAATAGCGTCCCCGAGTGAAGTGGGCACGGCCACTCGGAGGAACTCCTGCGGCTATCAGTAATTCACACTTGCCGACCATGAACGGTTTGGTAAATTGAGCGCAGCATTGCATGGTGAGAGTTGAAAGCTGCACAATTGTGTGTGCCGCCAGCTCCAGAACAGAAGGCGACCATTGAACTCAAGATAAGTTAGACGGGAGGCGGGCAGCGAAAGGCCGAACCGCGTGAGCCTTGTTGTTGAAAAGTAGCGCCTCGCTGTCGCATGTTGCAGACATGCTGCAAGTCCTTGCCACGTTGACAGCAGCAGTAGTGTTAACTTACCATGTCGTTCTGCCCGTTATGATTGTGTTTATTAGTGCTTTGTGTCATGTTGTATTTATTGGCATCTTGCAATTCCTGCCGCCAGATGTTATTCTTCATGGCGTGAAGTCATCCGTGGTCAGATCCATGCTTGTTGTCACCTTGAGGTTTTTCCCCGAGGGAAAAAGCGGCATCCAGTTGCACGAAGCAAGAGTGGGGTCACCAATGCGAGTGCGGCATATCGTGCGGCCGGGGTACAACCTCCAAGGTGTATGGCGTGTGCCAGTGACGCGGGAAGCCTGAGTCAACCTATTGATTGGGATACCGCGTTTCTCAGAGGGTCGTTGGGCCTAGAACTTCTGCTTCCAGTCGCATGCCGAAGCGTCGTTCGTGTGACGATCACGCTTGAAGCTGAATGTTAGGCCTTGCTGCTCTCTGGGTCGTCATGCAGCCTGGTTCGCCAACTGGCCAGCAGCAGCCCCCTGGCCTCTGGAGGTTTGCCGCCACAGAGAGTGCTCGAAATATCCAGATTGCTTCCAGTCCACTGCTTCCTGACCGGATGCCTGCGCTTTTTGATTTGATCTGAAAAGCGCGACCTCGAAGTGGCTAGCTTACAACAGCAAGGCGGCGCCAGCCTGTCAAAGCGGTCCTGCTCAGCAGGCCGCGAACACCGTCTCGGCACAATGCAGGCCCAAGACGTTGCCACAAACAAAATGATCGTGTCGAAGGACCCAACCATATGCAGTTGTGAGTACCGCGGTTGTGAGTATCGTCTTCGGCGGAGCTCCCTATGGATCGACGAACCGTGTGATGGGCGTGTTGACAGGGGTGCGGAGGATGCATGCGAGCATTGCAATTGGGGCCTTCGGTGGAGCCCCCTTATGGGACCACGAAACGTGTGAGGAGTGCGACGGTGTGCCGTTCTGGGTGCGGGGGGCGCATGCGAAAGCCGCCAACGGGGCCTTGGGTGGAGCTGCCTATGGGGCCACGAAACGTGTGAGGGGTGTGCCGTGCCGGTATGGGTAGCGGGAACGCATGCGAACGGCACCATTGGGGCCCCTGTATGGGGCCACGAAACATGCGAGGGGTGTGCCGAAATTTGTGGCGGGGGCGCATGCGAGCGGCACCATTGGGGCCTCAGGTGGAGCTCCCCATGGGGCCACGCAACGTGTCACGAGTGTGCCGAAAGGGGTGGCGGAGACGCATGCGAACGGCACCATTGAGGCCGGAGGTGGAGCTCCCAATGGAGCCACGAAATTTGACATGCGGTGGGCAGAGGCAGGGAGGGGAGGAGGGGGAAGGAGGAGGAGAGGAGGAAGGAGATGCAGGGCGCTGTGTCTTCAAAACGAGGATCCGACACCATAGGATGGTTGGGGAAAAAAACAAGGACAAGCAACGCGGTCTGAAGCCAGCGGTGTTCTTGGCGTCGCGGGGCGTGGAGTACCCAGGATGAGATTGGCCAGGATTGGTATTGGTGTGTATCCCGACTCCCCGTGGGTCCCGCCGTCCCCGTGGGTCCCGACTCCCCTTGAGGACCTTGGATTTCCGCACGTTTTCGGAGGAGTCCGATTCTAACGGTTCGCTTTGTGGGTTCGGTCCAGTCTGTCGACCCGCGCGGTCTACAGTCGACGCCGTCGTCGTCGTGCTCGTCGCCGTCGTCGTCGACGCCGTCGTCGTCGTCGTCGCCACCGAAAACGGGTATGGGTAGTTGGCGCCCTCGCGTGTGCGGTGGCTCTCCTCGGCGGCACGCAGGGGGGAGGGCCTTCTCAAGAAGGCGTGGGGCGTCTCATGGAAGGCGTGGGCCTTCTCACAGAAGGGCCCTGGGGGGCTATGATGTTCCAACCGACTTTAGCCTGGACCGCCAGAAAGACTTTCGAACACCAAGAGAGCATCGAGACTGGAGGATTTGCTCGCGCGTCGGGCTCTGCGAGGCGAGGCTCGCTCGACACCGTGTCGACACCCTTCCGGGGTGCCCGAAATGGTTGTTGGGACGTGGTCCTCAAGTACGGTGGGAGCAGCATGCACCAGGGGGGTCTTCTGAGACTCCTCCTCCTCCTCCTCCTCCTCCTCCTCCTCCTCCTCCTCCTCCTCCTCCTCCTCCTCCTCCTCCTCCCCCATCCGCAGCCGGAAGGGCTGCCGAGAACCCCCCCCCCCCTACGCCCTCTCAGAGCCCCCCCCCCCGACCTCTCTAGGCGGTGAGTGAGGGGGGGAACTGAGAAGGAGAAGGTCTTTTTCAGAAGGCGGCGGGACTTCTCAGAAGCCCTCGCGCCTCCTGAGAATTTTAGTTTGTGCCTTCGGGGAAGGCTTAGAAGACCTCTCAGAAGGCCCGGGGACTTCCGAGGCTTCTGAGAAGGCCCGCCCCTCCTCGCTTCCCCCCCTCGCTCGCCGCCTACTCTCGGGAGGCTGCCCTTCTCGCGCCGCCTCCTTCCCCGACGGCCGCCGACCTGGTGGCGGTCGGGCTCCAGAGGTCCCGCGGCTCCTCGAGCCAGGCGCAGAGGGCTGTACGGCAGGTCCGCGCCGCGTCGACCGGCGGCGGCCCCGCCGGCGGCGTTCAGCGTGGAACGCCGGCGACGACCCGGAATCGATCGGTGTTGAACGACTGGACGCTGCGGCGACGGCCGATCGTTCGAGGTTGAACGATCCGCGCGGTGTCAGAAAAGCCCACGCTGGGGTCGTCGCGACGCGGCCCTGCCGTACAGGGGGAGGGGGAAGGCTGCTCAGAAGCACCCCTGGCTTCGCAGAGGGCGCGGGCCGCAGCACGCGGACGCAGGGCCCGCGCCTTCCCAGGAGCGGCCTCCCTCTGCGGAGCCTCCCCCCCATGGCCCCCATGCTCGGCGGCGACGAGAGGGGCGAAGAGCCCAGGGGAGGGCATTCCACGCATTCGCCCGGGAGCCTCGTCGAAGACATATTATATATATATATATATATATATATATATATATATATATATCATCGGCGCACCTGAAGACAGGAGGAGGAGGAGGAGGAGGAGGAGGAGGAGGAGGAGGAGGAGGAGGAGGAAGAGGAGGAGGAGGAGGGGGAGGGGGAGGGGGAGGGGGAGGGAGGGGGAGGGGGGGAGGGAGGAGGGGGAGGAGGAGGAGAGGAGGAGGAGGAGGAGGAGGGGAGGAGGAGGAGGAGGAGGAGGAGGAGGAGGAGGAGGAGGAGGAGGAGGAGGAGGAGGAGGAGGAGGAGGAGGAGGAAGAGGAGGAGGAGGAGGGGGAGGGGGAGGGGGAGGGGGAGGGGAGGGGGAGGGAGGGGGAGGGGGAGGGGAGGGAGGAGGAGGAGGAGGAGAGGAGGAGGAGGAGGAGGAGGAGGAGGAGGAGGAGGAGGAGGAGGAGGAGGAGGAGGAGGAGGAGGAGGAGGAGGAGGAGGAGGAAGAGGAGGAGGAGGAGGGGGAGGGGGAGGGGGGAGGGGGAGGGGGAGGGGGGGAGGGAGGGGGAGGGGGAGGGAGGGGGGAGGGGGAGGGGGAGGAGGAGAGGAGGAGGAGGAGGAGGAGGAGGAGGGGAGGAGGAGGAGGAGGAGGAGGAGGAGAGGAGGAGGAGGAGGAGGAGGGAGGAGGAGGAGGAGGAGGGGGAGGGGGAGGGGGTGGGGGAGGGGGGGGAGGGGGAGGGGGAGGGGGAGGGGGAGGTGGAGGAGGAGGAGGGAGGAGGAGGAGGAGGAGGAGGAGGAGGAGGAGGAGGAGGAGGAGTTTTGCTCTCCCCTGGGCTACTCGCCCCTATCGTCGCCTCTGACATGCCCCCCCGCGGCGCGCCGCCGGGCTCCCGACTCCAGAGGTCCCAACCGCTTTCCCGGGGATCCCTGTTCGAGTGTCCTTCAGGAGTGAGAAAAAAAAACAGACACAATGAATCGACGGCCCTCAAGGAAACATGGGAAAATATGGGCAGTGGGGGGGAAGACGAAAGCCCAGTACAGATGGGAAAATATGGGGAATCCTGTTATTCGTGTGTGTATGTGTAGTTCTTTGTGTGTCCCAGGGCCCCTTCAGTCCTCGGCCACCCCCGACCCTCCCGGATGGTGCCGCGGGGCTAGGAGCGCTCGCCCTCTCCGGGCCGCTCCCTGGAGCGCTCGTGCGGGCGTCCTGTGCGCGCTGCGGCGTAGGACTGCTTGGCCGTCCCCGCGCCCCTGCCGTGGCCCGACAGGGGGGGTCCAGCAGGGGAGGGGGTGGCGCAACGGATTGTGGGCAGTGGTCTTGCCGATGTACAGTCGGGGCGCCGACCCAGGGAACCCTACACAAGGAACGAGGCCCCTTTTTCCCAGAAGCTGAACTTCGACTTCCCGTGGAAAGCCTCAGGGAAACCTAAGGCAAACTGCACAACAGTCAAGGAACACCGAGCCCCTCCCCAACAAAAAGGGGTCCTTCTTCAGCGCCTCGACTGTACTGACAGTTGTGCTGCATTGTGCTGCAATTAGAATGGATTGCACGCGAAAGTCCCGCAGCACATTTCGCGCACCGGAGCGTGCTGCACCCCCCCAGAACCTACTACAGCCCCACGGATCTAGGGCACCAAGTCTACTGCACCGCCCCCTCCTTTCGCAGGGCCCCCTCCTGGGCCAGCGAGACCCAGGAGCTGTCGGAGGTTGATGGACCTCCTACCCTGACACGTCGATTAGCGAGCTGGCCGCTTTCGGTTCGCGAGAGGGCGTCGCGGCCGCCATCTTTGCGGGTCCTGGTCCGTCGGCTTCGGTCCTGGGCCGTTTTCCCGAAAGGGAGGCTTACGAAAGGGAGGTTTGTCCCCCCCCCGCGGCCAGGAGCCACCCTTTGGGCCGGTGCAGTCAGGAGCTTGCCGCGGGGAGCTCCGGACGAGGAGCCCGAGGAGGAGCACCCCACCACCACCAGCCGGCCCCCCGAGGCCAGGAGTCGTGGGCAGAGGCGCGGGCTGGAGCGCAGCAGCAGGCCGTCGGAGAGAGAGAGAGAGAGGGCCGAGCAGCCCGTGCCGGCCGCCGACCTCCGGGGGCTGCGCCCAAGTCGGGCGTGTCCCTCCACAGGAGGAATGCCCAAGAACAGTCAAAGAACAGTCCGGGGACGATTTGTCCATTCATGCTTTGACCCATTGGGGCGTATTCTGGGGGGCATCTGTTTGAGTTTTCGTCCAACATTCCCCATGTAGGGGGACATGCCCAACTTGAGGCTGCGCGGAGCTGCGTGGGGGGGGGGGGGGGGGGGGGGGCGCCGCGCGTCGCCTGGTCTCGCCGCCGGAGCGAGAGCGGGGCCCGAATTCGGTGCGCCGGGCAGGCAGGGCGGAAGCGGGCGCAGCACTCGGGGTGCGCCCTGTCCCTGGGCCTCCCAGAGGGGGTCCGAGCAGATGGGGTCGGAGGAAGAGCTCGGGCTTCCCGGCCGCCGCCGGGCACGAGCCGGGGCACCCCTTGCTGGAAGCATTCCGGGCGAGGGGCCGCCGCTGAAATCGAGGCCTCCCAGATGGGGTCGGAGTGGATCGCGCCGCATCGTCGATGCATTGGCGATGCGGCTCGATGTGGGGCCCGATTTTCTCCACGCCGACGGCGCCGATGCATCGCCGACGTCGCCGATGCATCGCCGGTACATCGGCAATGCAGTGGCGATGCGGCGCGATCCTTCGACCCCATCTACTCGAGCCCCATCTAGGAGGCCTCTACTGTCGTAGCGGCGCCACACAGTAATGGCCACTAGAAGAAGAGAAAACGGCATACGCATCAAGTGTTGGCGCTCCACGCGGATTTCTTGGATCCGCGCTGGACCCCCTCCCTGACGCGCGGAGCGCCGTCAGGGGGGCCCAGCGCGGATCCAAGAAATCCGCGCGGAGAGCCAAGTTTCTGTTTACGGTGCTTGTTCTTCCAACCATACGACCATACCGTGCCGTTTCAGACGCGCCAGCCGTGAGCCCACGAACCCAGTCGTTAGTCAAGACCGATTCACCGCGATTCACAGACCGACGACGACGACGACCAACCGATCGACGACGACGACGACGACGACCGATAACAACGACGACCGAGCGACCGACCGACCGATTGACCTACGACGACCGACAGACGCCTGGCCGACCCACGACGACCGACGATGACCAACCAGACGACCAGCTGACCGACCGACGTGAGCCTGGCGAAAACTCAAATTCAAGAGCTTCTTTTCTGCGGGCGGGCGGCTCCTTCCAATCCTCTCGGACTGCTCTTCTCTGGTCCATTTTGGTTCGCTGATCCGTGCGGCTGTCAGGACCGACCGACGACGACGACGACGAGCGACTTTCCGACCGACCGACCAACCGATGACGACGACGACGACGAACCGACCGACCGACCGACGACGACGTCCGACCGCCCGGCGGGCCCGCCGGCCGGCCAGCCACACGACAGGTTTCAAGTGTGCGCCAGGTTTCCGTCTTGCCGGGCTGGGGGCGCGTGGCAGCGTGCCGCCAGCGGCGGCCTCCCAAGTGCGGGAGGGGATGTGTGGGAGGAAGGTCAGAGTGGTAGAGTTGCCCCTCTCCTTTCGCCTTCTCCTCCTCCTCCTCCTCCTGCTCCTCCTCCTCCTCCTCCTCACTCCCTCCTTCACGTCACACCCCATGCGCGACAGTGCCGAGTCCTATCGCATCTTATCTTCATCATTTCACGGTTGATGATGGCCTCAGCAGGCATTACAAGGGCATCTCGGGTGTTGGTTCGATCTTGCATTCGATCTTGCGCAAAGCAATGCCGAGTCCTACCTATCCTTATCCTCCTCCTCCCCCCTTTCCACGGTACAGCAGGCACTTTGGTTGCTGTAACCTCATGCAGAATTTAAGAGCCCCCCTTTCCGGCAAAGGGTAAAGCTTCCCGCACCGGGAAGCGTTATTCTTGCACCCGGAAGATAATGTGGCTCTCGCCTTAGCGCCACGCGCATTCGTTCCAAACTCTTGCAAGAGCTTCACGGATTGAGGGCAATGTGTGGCTCTCGCCGCAGCGCCGCGCACATTCGTTTCAAAAACTTGCAAGAGCTTCACGGATTAAGGGTGGTTTGTTTTCAAAATGTGGTTCTCGCGTTAGCGCCGCGCATATTTTTTTGAAATTTGCAAGAGCTTCACGAATGGAGGGCCGGTAGTTTTCAAAATGTGGCTCTCACCTCAGCGCCGTGCGACGTCGTTTCAACAAATTGCAAGAGTTTCACGATGCAGGGCGACTCGTTTTCAAACTGTGGTTCTCGCCTGAGCGCCGCGCGCATTCCCTATATAGAACGTGCAAGAGCTTCGCGGGTTGTGAGGGCGGCTCGTTTTCAAAATGTGGTTCTCGCGTTAGCGCCGCGCGCATTCTTTCTAGAAGTATGCAAGAGCTTCACGGATGCAGGGCGGCTCGTTGTCAAAATGTGGTTCGCGCCTCAGAGCCGCGAACATTCGTTTTGAAAATTTTGCAAGAGTTTCACGAGTCATGGCGACTCGTTTTCAAGATGTTGCCCTCGCCTGAGCGCCGCGCACATTCGTTTCGAAGAACTACAAGAGTTTCACTGATGGATAGCGGCTCGTTTCCAAAGTGCGGCTCTCGCGTTAGTGCCGCGCACATTCACGGGTTGAGGGCGGTACTACTACCTTCACTACTACTACTACTACTACTACTACTACTACTACTACTACTACTACTACTACTACTCCTACTACTACTACTACTACTACTACTACTACTACTACTACTACTATACTAACTACAGCTACTACTACTACTACTACTACTACTACTACTACTACTACTACTAATAATAACGACTACTGCTACTGCTACTACTACTACTACTACTACTACTATTACTACTACGGCTACTGCTACTACTACTACTACTACTACTACTACTACTACTACTACTACTACTACTACTACTACTACTACTACTACTACTACTACTACTACTACTACTACTACTACTACTACTACTACTACTACTACTACTACTACTATTACTACTACTACTACTACTACTACTACTACTACTACTACGCTACTATTACTTACTACTACCTCTACTAACTACCACTACTACCACTACCATACTACTACGACTACGACTACTACTACGACTACTACTACTACTACTACTACTACTACTACTACTAGTACTACTACTACTACTACTACTACTACTACTACTACTACTACTATGATTACTACTCCTACTACTACTACGACTACTACTACTAATATCACCACTGTGACTACTACTTCCATTACTACTACTACTACTTCCACTACTACTACTACTACTGTTACTACGACTACTACTACTACTACTATTACTACTACTAGCGCTACTACTATTACTCCGGGTACTCTTACTCTTATTACAACTATTATTACGACTATTTGTTCTACGACTTTTACTAATATTACCATTACTACTACTGCTACTACGACTACAACTATGACAAACCACTACTACTACTACTACTACTACTACTACTACGGCTACTACTACTATTATTACTACTACTACTACTGCTACTTGTATTACTATCACTACGACGACTACTACTACTACGACTACTATTGCTACTATTACTACTACTACTACTACTACTACCACTACTACTACAACTGCTGTTGCTACTACTACTACTACTACCACTACTACTACTACGACTACTACCGGTACGACTACTACTACTACTACTACTACTACTATTACTACTACTTTTCCTGCTAATACTCCAACTACTACCTACTACTACTACTACTACTACTACTACTACTACTGATATTATTCCTACTCCGACGATTACTACTACTTATATTGGTATCAGTACTACTACGACGACGACGATGACTACGACTACGGCTACTACTATTACTACCACTACTACTCTTTTCTACTACTACTACTACTACTACTACTACTACTACTACTACTACCACTACTATTGCTAGCACGACCACGACTCCTACTACCATTACGCCTGCGACTACAACTACGACTGCTATTAGTACTGCTGCTACTGATGCTACTACTACTACATCTACTGCGACTATTACTATTGTTACTACTACTACTACTACTACTACTACTACTACTGCTGCTGTTACTATCACT